AGAAAGAAATAGGAAACAAGACAGGACCATTAGTCACCTTCAGAGTTAACTGTTTTCTTCCTGCTAAGTACCCTTTTTTTTTAACTTTTTCATTCTGGAAACAGTATTTGGTGGTTGTCACCCAACACCAGTGTTAATTTCTGTAGTGCAGAAACTTTATGTGGCTGGAAAATATAGTCACACATGAGCCTTGGGATGAAATGACTCTCCTTAGGGCACAATTCCCACACAGACACCACATTTAGGTATATGGCTTCTTGGCTGACACAGGAAAGGGGACAGTGAACAGGCACAAGGGCGTCCAGTCGGCTGAAACCTGAGAGGAGGATTCAGAGCTAGTAAAGATGCTGTTTGACTGGTCTTCCCTTTGACGAGTCTGGTTCTGAGTCAGGAGGACCACCAGTGACTGGCATGCTGTCTCTGCCCTCTCCTGTGGCCCTAGCCCTTCTCCTATGGACTTTGATATTGATGGAAGTCTGGGGGCCTCTCGTTCCTCAACAGGGGAGCTTATTTCCTGCTTCGGATCTGTTTGCAAAGTTGATTCAAAACTGAGTAGGAGGGAATTTATGTTTCTAAACTCCCATTTAGTGTTGTTCTCTGCTGGACTAGGCTGAGAGTGTCTGCCTCCTTCTCAGAGGCTCATCTACCCACCAGCTGCTGTCCACTGGCTCTGTGATTTAAGGCCATGCCATGCTGGTAGTCACTTCGGAGCTAGTTGTTCAGCATCATGGAGTGGAGGAAGTGATCGTCCATCCTCCTCTGTGAAGATGACCTTGACTGAATGTGTTTGACCTTGCTGTCTGTCTCCTAGGCACTATCTTAGTTTACTTGTGCTCATAAATTTACTTCTTACAGTTCTAGAAACTTGGAAGTCTGGGGTCAAGGTCTCAAAACATTTTTTTATCTAGTGAATGTCCTTTCCATGTCCTCACATGGTACAGGTACAAGACGTTTCTCTAGGATTGCTTATAGGGACACGAAGGCTCTTCTAAACAGTCTTGAGTCACTCGTGTTGGGATTAGATTTCAACATGTAAGTCAGTATGGTGCATAATATTCAGCCATGGCAGCATCCAGGGACCCAGCTCTCCACATTCTACATCTCTTGTTACTCCATCCTGGCTGAAGGGAAAAACCATGTCACAGTAGCTCAGCCATCTATCCAATCTCAGAAGACAGTATTCTTTTATGACACATCATAGTTAGAAAATGAAATTCTTAGCTTGAAGCTAATATCTCTGAGATACCTCGTATTTGTTTTCATAACACACATTCCGGGTGTGGATGGCCCATTTGGGCACAGGTATCTCATCTCAGGGTAACTTGTAATTCACTGCTGAGACCTCAAGATTTCATGCTAACTATGTTTTTTCTGTGCCCATAACTATTGCAATGATCATTCTGGAGAAGCAAGTCTACAGGAGTCTGCTGAGAGAGAATTGTTCTTCTATCTCCTTTGGAATCTTACATTATTTCTGGAGTCCACCATATGGGCATATGAAATCAGTAGACATTTAATGACACAGTTTTTTGCATGAAAATTATAATAATAATAATTGTAATAAAGAAAAAGGGCAGGTAAGTTTTCAATGTCACAGTTCTTCACTCATATAACAGATATTTATACCTTACCAGGCGCCAGTCACTATGTGCATGTTGGGCACATCAAGGATAATAGTAGCTATAGCCAACAAGTACTGAGCACTGTAGATTTCCTCATATAATTCTCAATTCAACTTTATAATTAAGTTCTTTTATAATATCTCATCAAAGACAAAGGAATGAAATTACAGAGATTGAAAAACAGACATACTTATAACCAGGACTAAAGCTAGAACACATACTAGGTTTAGATTGTTTCCTGTTGTTTCTACATGTGACAGAAACAAGATCGTACTCTCAAGGCCTTTATGGTCTGAATTAGGGAACATTTCTATACAAAAAGCAAGTAACTTTAATGATTTCAGGAGGAATGTGAAGTCCCCCCAAAACTTGTCCCCTTTCAGTGGAGTTGTGGCTATTGGACACACTGGGGTGATAGAGTCACTTGCTTGCTGTGGACCCCTTCTTCCTCCACCAGGAAACCCCTCTGTTTTGTCTCCTCTTTGTCCTGATCTTCTCAGTCTGCTTCTCTCTGTCTTGTTTGGATGCCCCCCTTTCTAAACTGTTTCTTTTGTCTATCCCCCACATCAATAGTTACTGAAGACCCCCAAATGCCATTAAGTACAGTTCCTAAGGAGATCGTGAAAAGGGATGACACCTGACTAACAATGAAACCAGGTATTGATGGGTGGCCTGCGAACCTGAGGCTACTAACCTCACATTTTCTTCATTTGAGGGACTCGGAGAAACCAGGAAGTGTCTGATGTTCTGGTGAGCCAAGGCTCCTTCCTTCTTGCAGACTACAAAAGCACATCCACTCCATTTTGTGTTGTTAATCTCATTTTTCCATGATTAACAACCCAGTTCATTATGTTTCCAGCTCACATTAATCATCTCTTCCGCAAGTTTGGTAACATTTGGAGCCATTTCCCTGTGTACTTATCCATCTGGGATCTTTATAAAAGATACATTTACAGAATATCTCATGTTGCTCATGTGGAAAGTCATTTGATGCTCCTGCTAGAGCAAAACACTGTGTTCCTCAGATTCTGAGAGGGAACTTCTGAGGTCAGACACTGCTTCCCTCACTGTGCAGGGACCCCTCCATTGATCTGCATGAGGTTCCCAACTTAGAACAAGATCTACAGCACAGAGGGTCAAGCTGTAATATAAGAGCAGTAGAAATCCCTAAAAGCAATGCTGCCTGGGTCCAGCTGCAGTCCTGAGTAGATGGCAGCAGGGTGGAAGGTGCTATGAACAGTGGAAAGAGGTGAGAGATCGATGAATGAGAGCCAAGCCCTGGTGGACTCCCGTCCACACCTGCGAGCGGTTTGACTTTAGACAAGGCACACAGTCTCGCTGGGATCCACTCACCTCCTCTGTGAGCTGGAGCCAAAGATGTACCTGCAATTCTGCACCCAAGGGCAGTTCTAAGTGTTGATTTATGTTCTTCTGCTCTCTGATGTTGGAGAGGCACTGTAATCTTTATAGCACTTACTTTCACAATTCCTATGGCTCTTTCCAAAATTAATGTGTGTGTGTTTGTGTGTACAAATAAATAGACTATTGGGGAATTTCCATAGATCTTTCCTGTTAGGGTTCCAAACAGCAGCAGTTTCCCCCCTCCCCAACAGGGACCTCACCTTGATCTTTGAAGTCAAGGGAAACAAACTCTGCTGAGAAGCAGCCTGCCTTTCCTCTGATCTTCAAAGATAAGATAAGCAGATTCTACCTGATAACCAGAGATTTTAGAAGTTGTTTATCACAACAGCTTTTCTCTTAAGAGGGAAAAAGTAAACACTTCCAGAC